GGGGAGACGACAAAATACATCACGATATACTGCGGTACATTCAGCCAGCGACTTTTATACTGAATGTATTATAGGAGAATTCAATAAACAGTCCAAACTGATACTTAACATGTTTAACATGAGGCATCTGAACCACAATAGAGATTTACATTTCAAAGGTGAAAACAAAACCCACTGCACACTGCTGCCAACTAGTGGCCGGCGTTTGAATTGCACGAAAAGAAAAGGAAATACACAAATATTTGCATGTAAATTATTCCAAAAATTAGATAAACAGCTTTTGAATACCGAGATAATATTGCAGGGAAAAATATCACGGTATTTTGCGATATAGATATTTTCTTACATCCCTACTAAACAGAGACGGTATTCTCCTTACTTTGTAAATATGAAGGCTGGTACTGAGGAGGAGACTCCTCATGGTACACCACACTCTGGACAATACCATGGACCGGGTTCAGGAGGTTGGTGTCTTGGCACATGGACAGCACAGTGTTGATCTTAGAGTCCAACAGGTTGTAGCTAAGGAAAAACACACACACACACACACACACACACACACACACACACACACACACACACACACACACACACACACACACACACACACACACACACACACACACACACACACACACAAACAAACCAGATATTTTCAAAGTAAGTTCTGAGATACATTTAGGTGTAAACGAACGTTCCGATCATTCCCAGTAAAACAGGAACGCTACTGAACATGTAGACCAGTGTTAAGGTTAGCAGAGGTGTGTGTGTGTGTGTGTGTGTGTGTGTGTGTGTGTGTGTGTGTGTGTGTGTGTGTGTGTGTGTGTGTGTGTGAGACTAACTTACACAACGGGAAAGACCTTTGGAAAGACAACACTGGCCTCAGCCAAGTACTCATACAGAATCCTCTGGTCAAAGTCATCAGTGGTGTACTTAACCTGGGTCGCCTGCAGGAAGAGGAAAGCACCATCACAGGTCAACGGCATCTACAGCCAGCTGGTTCACTGGTGGACTGAACTGTGGGTCCTCACCAGCACAGTGAGCAACAGAGCTTGGACCTTCGGATCAGTCAGAACCTCTTCATCCAGCAGAACGTTGGACTCCGATACTGACACCTTACGGAGGTGAGAGTTTCCGATTCTTTGCGTCTCTACAAAACAACACAGAAGGGAGCTTTTAAGACTCGGCACCAAAAACCAGACACGAAGCCCGAACTATTCTCACCAATCTCGTAGTCGTTCTCTGCTACACGTCTCATCTTGGGTGGAGTGGTCATACCAGACTCCATCTCTGGTCTCTTTGGTGCTTTAGAGTCCGATATGAGATGATCAAAGCTCTTGCGGGTGCCTGGTTGAACACAAACACAGGACTCCTTTAATTCTGCTCAAACCGGTGTTCCTGTTCATGAGAGACGGAGCACACACCCAGGAGCTTTTTGGTGTTGGCCTGTGAGGGCTGGCCCATGTCCAGGCTCATGGATTTCCGTGTTCGTGGGCTGATCTGGCCCATTGTGGGGTAGTGATGTGTGGAAAGGTAGCGATCTGAAATCTGAGGCGACGTCCACGGCTGAGGCTCCTGCAGAGCTCTAAAAGAAATGGACTTTAATCGTTTATCTGAGGTGGACAGAAAAAGATCTGGTGTCTTGACTCACCTGCTGCTGGGACTAGTGATTTGACTGGAGATGGTCTCCATGGGAACCGGGTCCATTGAGAGGTCTGAAATGAGCAGTGACTTTCTGTGTTTGAGGCTGCAGCGACTTCTGACTTCCTCAGACACGGTTAGCAAAGCTGCAGAGAAAAGGTTGGTAGGGTTACTCTGATCCGTCAGGGATTATAAACTCTTAGCTGTAGAGGTGAACGGACAGGTGGCTGCTGGGAATAGTTGAGCTCTCCTTACCTGCCAGATAAGCCACGCTCTGAGTGTTCACCTCAAACTTGTCACATTTGAGATGCTTACTGGTCAGAGACAACAGAGTGTGGAGGATCCGCACTGTCCTCGCCACCGTGTGGGTTGATGGGTGTCTGTAACCTGAGACAGGTGAGACACTCCCATCAGGAGGATTCAGTGTGAGCATGGAAACATTTATTTAGCTGTGTATTTCAGCTCACTTCTACATCAGTGGAAGTGAGCTGAAATACACACTTTACCTTTCAGAAGGTGTCCCACTAGTGCAAAGTTAAAGTTGGCATTAAAATTCAGGCCCACAAAATGATCCATCTGCTTACAGTGCCACTCCAGAGGACGCCGGATCTCCATGAACACTTGCTCTGGACTCTGTTGGAGAAAACATTACATTTGTTGACAAACATCTGACCACAACCTCTCCTTAGTAACGATGGTGGAGGACCCAGAGGCATGTCCATGCACCTGTTCTCTGAAGGAACCACAGGCAGATTGGCCATGACCAACAGCTGAACACATGGCTGAACAGAGACTCGTGTGGACTCTACCTTGTCATTGAAGACACGCATTGTGTCGAGCGTGTGGAGGTTCTGCTCCAAAAGAGCTGTTCCTGCAGAGTACAGGCTGACTTCATCCAGCTGCAGCACAGCAACAGCAACCCAGAACAAAGCTTTGTGCATGGGGGAGTCCTGCAACCACACACAATGACTCCTCACTACCACACAGCGTACGTAAGGTATGTGTGACCTGGAAACCTGATGAACCGAGTGATGGATTCTCAGCTTAAAGCAGATGTCTTTTGGTTTTCTAATAACAGCACCATCTAGAGGCTGAAAACTGTATAGCACCTCTAGCCATTCTCACCGCTTCAGTATTTATGACCAAAATCAACGACTCTCGTTCATGAACGTGCACCTGTAGGCGGCCAACAAAGCTAAAACAAACTGTCTTACAATTATTATTCTCAGGGTGCCAATTATTCATATATGTATATATTTTAAAGATTTACATGTCCACGAGGAAAGTCACCAACTCTGCATCAGTCTAGGTAGGTCCCACGTCTGTTCTACATCTGCACGTGGATGTCCAACATTGTTGGCTAATGCTGAGCGGCGCTCAGTTCAAATTGCATGGGGTTCAAGGTAAGACTCTGTTACGGGTTAGTAAAATATAAAGAATTCCCAAAAAGGGGGAAAACTCTGAATGGCAGCGTCAAAGTGGTTATATTCGTTCTAACTGTCTCGCTCAGAAGTGTGAAGGCACATCCCGGTTTTATCACCGCGCCTAGGATTAGATGCAGCAGTTTGTACCTTGCTGAGAAGAGGCTGCAGCTTGGTCAGAGCAATGACTGTGGCCTCTATTAATACTTGGCTGTTGTAATTGTCTGGTCCCTTCAGACAGCTCTCCAGACCCTGTGATGGAAGGAAGAGAAAAAGGAAACGTGAACAAAAGAACTGGAGGACAGGAAAACACCACCTGTAACCATCTTTAATAACAAGTTGCTGAAAAAGGTGAGTGTGTGTGTGTGTGTGTGTGTGTGTGTCAGTCATTTGCAGCCCGTCCAAAGGAGGGCTGGAGAGTCGCCCTCCCTGACATGTAGGTAGAAGAGAATCAAAAAGTGAAAAATAAAATTGACAACAGACACCAGTATTATTTGTGGGGAGCTGGGAAAAGCGCCCCTGAACTGCAGCTAAACAGCCAATCACGTTTGGTTGCTAAGGAGAACTGGAGAAGTTTGGGCCAATCAGCATTTCTGAATCTAATGCCTCCAGGGCAGGAGCGACAGTGCCCCAATACAGAAAACAGCTAGCATGCTAGAAGGTGCTGGATCCCACCCCCCCCACCGCTATCCACACTCACTGTTGCTTCATATAGATGGAGCTAAAATCATCCCTACCCTGTTGCAGTAAAATGTCTTTATTTCTTCTCATTTTTATATGATTACCGTAAATCCTCTAATACAGGCCCGGGCCTGTATTTGACTCAAGCTCACCAAGCTCCAGGCCTTTATTGGAAGGAGGACCAGAATTAGAGGCAGGCCTCTATTTCTATTTGAGCAAAATGAACTAATGGTTCGCTGGAGTTTTTGACAATTAAAATTGTGCCCACATTTTCAAAGTTAAACACATTTCTTTTAACAACGGTAGTTTCTGCTTCAGCCCTCCCCCCCCTCCCCCTGCTTCAGCCCTCTCCCCCCTCCCCCTGCTTCAGCCCTCTCCCCCCTCCCCCTGCTTCAGCCCTCTCCCCCCTCCCCCTGCGCAGCGGCCGCAAACTCACTGATGCGCCTGCAGCCTCTCGGAGTTCCTGCTGCTCTAAACATTAAAATAATTATTTCATTTTCTGTTCCTCACTTCTGATTACCTTCAATGGTGTCTGTTTGTTGCAACCAGCAGGTACAAAACTAACTTGTTTTTATTTGACTATTTTTCTGTCCTGTCTGTTTATTATCTTCCTGCATCTCCTCTCAGTCCTAAAGAAAAACTGCTACCTGGGTTCATATATATTCACCTCATGAGTTACCTTTGAACTGCAGTTCTAAAAGATCTACCGACCGCTAAAACCGCGGAGCGCTCGCTGCTTGGAGGCCGCATCTGTGATCAGTGCGTCGGAGGACAAGTTGATGCGCCCCGCTCCACAGCAGCGAAACGCATCAGGCGCAAATAAAAGACAGAAAACATTAAAGGAAATGAACCGACATGAACGATCGCGTGTCAGTACCGACGGTCTGGCACAGCGCGTTGCCCCCCCCCCCCCCCCCCCCCCCCCCCCCCCCCCCCGAGCGCAGGAGCTTGTCACCTGCTGACAGCAGGCTGCTGTCTTTTCTGAGGGCTGCATCTTGACGGTCATTATCACGTGACAGCGACTAGTCGACGACAGGCATAAAAAGTCACTATAGTGAAGTTGACTAGTTCATACACCCCCTACTGCTGCTCTCCAGAGTGTTCTGCAGCATAATCAGCACGTTCTCTTTGAACTTGATAGTGTAATGACCTGGCTGGGGTTGTAAGCCAGGTGCATTCTGGGTATTGTGTTATATGTGTTTCCTATCGTTCTGCTAGTTCCTATGTGCTGATTTGCGTGTTGTGTGAGTGTTATGTAAGCCACAGGGAAGGTGATGTGTGTTCTGTGGAGCGGGTTGAATTAGCATGGTTAACTGACACCGTGACTCTGTGTGGTAGGAGCGTGATAGAGGATCGTGTCTGTAGCGTTGAAGAAAAAGCCTAATAAAGGTCTGCGTGAACCTCTACTGCCTCCTGCTGGTTGATTTGGGGACTGTAACCCTGCCGCTGGGACGCTCATACTTGCTTGTTACCACATTCCACCCGGCCAAAATTGGAGACCGGCCATTATTTACCTCTGCTGACTCCGACACCGGCCAAAATTGGAGACCCGGCCTTTAATTGAATACCGGCCTGCATTAGAGGATTTACGGTATTAAGTTTTATACAGGATTTCCAATTCAATTTCTATGTGTTGTTACTGCCCCCTACTGGTGGAATTGAGTACAGAGAGTCTAAGTCTACCCCCATTACTGTTGGCTCATGGGTTTCTGGACCAAAGAAAAAAAAGATTTTACGAGACAACAGAGCTATAAAATTATGCTCTAAATCGCTTTGCCTCACGCCCTGAATCACACATTTATTGTTCTTCCGTTTAAATGAAAAGTAATTATGTGAGTTTCAACTATGTCAATTACTTTGAAATTTATCAACTTGGAAACATTTATAATTAAAATAACAACAAATCCCTGCGTCACCACAGAATCTCTTCCCCAGTGTTAACTCACTGTAAATGCATACATTCAGGGAGTTTCTCATTTCTTGTTCTATTGCGAGATTTGTTTTTGGTTCTATAGCGAGGACCTGGGAGAAGCGGGAAGGCGGAAGGAGAGAGAGTTCTGGATGGCAATAAACGGCGGCACTGAAAAATAAACATGTGGGTTGTTAAACTTTACATGGTAGCAGAGGATGGTTTCCGACTATAGAACGCCGCCTAAACTCGATGAAACCAGGCTTTATGAATGCTGGAAAAATGAAGTTAGTATGTGGAGACTTGTTACGGATCTGGAAAAGAAGAAACAAGCGCTTGCGGTGGCCCTGGGGCTCGAAGAACGAGCCAGAGAGACTGCTTTAGAGATATCCGCAGTGGATCTTAACAAATATGACGGTATGGAAACCTTGCTTACAAAATTGGACACAGTTTTCCTGAGAGAAGAAAAAGATTGAGCTTATGAAGCATATTCTCACTTTGACTCGATATCTAAAGACAGTGCAATGTCAATGGCGGACTACATTATAGAGTATGAACAAAGGTACAACCGTATAAAAAAGTATGATATGACTCTACCTGATGCTGTAGTAGCGTTCAAGCTCCTGGACACAGCCCGTCTCGAGGAGAAGAACAGACAGCTAGCACTTACGGCGTGCACGGATCTGACATTTTCATCAATGAAATCAGCACTGAAGCGGAGTTTTGGAGGGAAATCCATCGGGACAAGCATCGGCTGTGATACGCAAAGTGCGGTTTTCTACACGGAACAAAAGTCAACCAACGAGTTCAGACAGAGTAATTGTCCACCACAGAATGGAACACGACAGCCACAACAAGGTACGAATCCCCTAGATAGATACGGGAAGCGCACTAAATGCGCTATCTGCCAAAGTACGTACCATTGGGCTAAAGACTGTCCTTGATGCAAAAGTGAGAAACAATGAAGGTGAAGTGCTTATGGTCACAGCAGAGATGTCATTGAAAGAAAAACATAAAGTCCTACTGAAGCTACACAAACAGTTTGGCCATGCATCTGCTGACCGGTTACAAAGACTAATCCAAAGCTCTGGAAACAAGGATAAAGATTGTTCAGTCATTCTGCAGTAGATCGTACATGACTGTGAAATATGTCAAAAACACACCAAGACTATGCCCAAGCCTGCTGTTGGTCTGCCCTTGGCTTCAGAGTACAATGAGACTGTGGCGATGGATCTGCATGAGCTGGAACCGAGAGTATGGTACCTATACATCATCAATCACTTCACACCTTTCAGTTCTGGAAACATTGTAAGAAGTAAGAAACCTGCAGAGATTGTCGACTCTTTCATCCACTCATGGATAAGCATCCATGGTGCACTCAAACGGATCTACACAGACAACGGTGGAGAATTCAACAACAAAGAAATCAGAGACATGGTGGAAAAGTTCAACATAGAGATAAAAACCACAGCGGGATACAGTCCTTGTAGTAACGGTTTACTGGAGAGGCACAACATGACACAAAAGCCCCCTTCAGACAGGCCATGAAAAACGGAAATGTTCAGGACTCTGTAAGACCTTTGTGTCTGAATACAAACATCCGGATAACGCTTTCCGTAATTAAACCGGACGAAGCCCCTAGTAACTGGACCGGACTTGTCACGGACCAGGTGGCTGCTTCAGACTGGTGAGGTCGAGTTCGGACAGGGAGGAGGAGGGGACCGGGGGACGCTGTGCGCACTTAGATAGCTCGCTCCTGTAGCATGCGGCAAACCATGGCAGCTCGCCTACCGTACCGTCTGGTCTAGACGCGCGACGGAGCGCTTCACACCGCTTCCGTGATTCCTTTAACCATTGAGCTTCATCATCCAGGTCTCTTATGCGTCTTTGTGCGCGCAGAATTATGCTTAACATAAGTCCGATCAGTGAGAAGAATTCTATCTCTTCGTCTGCCATGTTTGGGTAAATCACGCATGTACGCCCACCGCACCATGTTTATGCAATATCTGGGCACAGCCCCCCCCCCGGTTAAAAACTGGACTGAATTGCCCACACATATTCCAGAATGTCAATCTGAAAAGGGTTTAACTGAGATCCTTCTGAAGGTAAAAAAAAGAAAATGACTGTTGTAGCATCATGAATGTCCTGTTTTTGACCTAAAGGTCATGATCTGCTGCGTCTCCTCGAGCAGAGACATAAAGTCTCTGACAAAGGCTAATCTACATGAGACGTTGGCCAAGGTCTTTCATGCACTCTGCTCATCTGAACTGATTCACCTCTGTTACAGCTCAAGACGAAGACGAAGAACTCTCTTGATAAACACATAATCAACAACTCTGTTATTACCAATAATAATGTGAGCCCAATGTTCAATCAATCTGTGAAATGACAATGTTATTACTTGATATTATAATCCTGTGATCAGTAGTATTTTACAAGTAATTATAATCTTGGACATTTGCACTAGACACTGATGACACGTAATGCTAAAGTCACACGACACATTTCCTTTTGTCTGATCCAATCAGAACCTTCGTTTATGACGCGAGGCGTGGTTTTCTGTGGTGTTTGTATAAACCCTCTTTTTCATGTCACATTCTGATTCACCAGTAAACCAAAATGTGACAATTATAAAAACTCTCCCACGCCACCTTTTCTTTACTTCAAGCGTTCTAGAGAAGTCTCGGACCGGCCATCCGGACTTCCTCTTCAGCCATAAAGAGCCTCGACAAGCTGGATAAAATCTGTTGCAAGTTGCACCTGACCACAACGGTTCCTTCAGAATAAAAGCTGAACCTCA